CTCCCCATATGACATACCAGCTACCTCTTCTATCTCTCCTCCCCCTCACATAGCCCCTACAACTTTTTACTCCAAGTATCCCCCCCGTAACATCAGCGAGAACCCCAGGGCTCTTCTACGTCTAGGAACACTGCTGACAGCTGACGTCACTGCTGAGGTTGCACGATTTACCCAAGTCGGAATATCAAGAGAAACAGAGTGGGACGCTGAATGATACAATTAAAATATAGTGTGTTGAGAGTATGAATTTTTAATTCGTCATCCGTTATCAACGATATGATTGACGGTGAGGTTATCAGTAGAAACTGTACCTGACTGTGCAACGTCGTAGGACTTATTCGTTCAAGCGTCATCGCAGTCATAAAGCACAGATAAAACAAGGCAAAGACTTACCGATGCAAAGTACCGATAATCGTAAACCCGCATAATAAACTACGAAGTACTAGAACGGCTGAACAGTCACGAGATGAATGGAGATGACGTGATAAAAGGCGACACTGCCTGCGGTTTGTCACTATAAGCACAGACTCCAGAATGAGATACCGATGGACCAGAGAGCCGGTTCGCAATGCATCGATGCAACCGGTTGCATATGGGCGCGTGCACAGTTGGAATGTGCCCGGGCAATAAGTGGCATTACCAGCTAGAAAAATGAAATGAGAAGATCGCGAGGATACGTCGAGTAAATTGATCCAGGATCACTTGATCAAATTGATCGATTGTAAAAAAATAATAACACGCGCCATAAAATTACCCAAACACGATACAAATATTATTTCCAAACAAAACGCAGATTCCGTGTACAACACGGCTACCCGGTATAAGCTGCTACGTGTAAAAGGCCAAGTGTGCACCTCAAGTGACAAGCAGCGAAATGGCAGAGAAAACATTGGAAACGCAATTTATCCGTCCGATCGATCAAACGGCTCTCGGCCAGTGTGTCACCATTGAGGCGATTCAATGAGCTAACGCTAACTTAACGCTACACACCCCACTGAGCTGCACTCGGTCAGATAACTCGCGGATTTTCAAGCATCCTGCCTTTAAGAACGACATATATCTAAACCCCTTCGAGACTTCTTACAGCGGTTAGTCACTCTGTCTTTATCTTTCCCTTGTAATAGGATTCAATGCTAAGAGAATCGCCTATACGATGGACCGTATAGGTGGATGCTGAATTTACGAAATTTTTACGGGGGCTGTTTCAACCCCTGTATCGGGGATAGGTGTCTTTTGGAACGCAGACAAGATTAACGCGACGGAGTCTTCGACGAACGAAGATCGCATCTCGATCGAAGATAAGGTGCAAGTCTGGCGTTCTGGGCGTCGGGACGCTCGACGTATAAGAGAGAATGGAAATCAATACGTGAAGTGAGCAGCTAGTTTGAGGGAAGGAGCTGGTGCAAGGGTAGGAAAGGCTCCTTGGCATCTAGGAGCTTTAGAAAGCCTTGAGACGTCGGACTCTCACTCCCCTTTCGACAACCCTCTCTCTTCATTTCCTTCCCTCTCTCTCTCTCTCTCTCTCTCTCTCTCCTTCGCGACCCTCACCAGTAAGAGACTAAGAGAGGGAGATTCCATTCAGGACTAATGGGGTTAAACGCCTTCGCCATCCGCCGAATGTCCCTCCTTCGCGACCCTCACCAGTAAG